TCCCAGAACCACACGGGGGGACCTGGTGAATGACCTGCAGAGAGCTGGGACCAAAGTAACAAAGGTCACCATCAGTAACACACTACAACGGCAGGGAATCAAATCCCACAGTGCCAGACGTGTTCCGCTGCTGAAGCCAGTGCATGTCCAGGCCCGTCTGAAGTTTGCCAGAGAGCACATGGATGATACAGCAGAGGATTGGGAGAATGTCATGTGGTCAGATGAAACCAAAGTAGAACTTTTTGGTATAAACTCAACTCGTCGTGTTTGGAGGAAGAAGAATACTGAGTTGCATCCCAAGAACACCATACCTACTGTGAAGCATGGGGGTGGAAACATCATGCTATGGGGCTGTTTTTCTGCCAAGGGGACAGGACGACTGATCCGTGTTAAGGACAGAATGAATGGGGCCATGTATCGTGAGATTTTGAGCCAAAACCTCCTTCCATTAGTGAGAACTTTGAAGATGAAACGAGGCTGGGTCTTACAACATGACAATGATCCAAAACACACCGCCCGGGCAACAAAGGAGTGGCTCTGTAAGAAGCATTTGAAAGTCCTGGAGTGGCCTAGCCAGTCTCCAGACCTCAACCCCATAGAAAATCTGTGGCGGGAGTTGAAAGTCCGTGTTGCTCGGCGACAGCCCCAAAACATCACTGCTCTCGAGAAGATCTGCATGGAAGAATGGGCCAAAATACCAGCTACTGTGTGTGCAAACCTGGTAAAGACCTATAGTAAACGTTTGACCTGTGTTATTGCCAACAAAGGTTATGTTACAAAGTATTGAGTTGTATTTTTGTTATTGACCAAATACTTATTTTCCACCCTGATTTACGAATAAATTCTTTACAAATCCTACCATGTGGATTCATGGATTTTTTTTTCACATTCTGTCTCTCACAGTTGAAGTGTACCTCTGGTGCAAATTACTGACCTCTGTCATCATTTTAGGTGGGGGAACTTGCACAATCGGTGGCTGACTAAATATTTTTTTGCCCCACTGTATTTTATCCTTTAAAAATTTAGCTCTTGAATAATTGCAGATTCACTTCTACAATTCAATTTCAGTTCCAAAATTCAGTTTTTTGGGACTTACATCCGGTTCCGGTTCAAGAGTAAGCGAGCGCAGAAACTACGTTTTACTAGCGGACCGAAAGTGTCACTGATGGGAATCTACAGCGTCTTGAACTGAATTAAGACTTCAGAAGTATTCGTCATGTCGAATGACCAGCGGATAAACTCTCAGGTTGCTATTAAATGTATTACATGTATAAGAACAAGTGTCATGTTAACAAATGATAGCCGTACAGTAACTTTTATGCTTATTGTAGCTGTTAGCTAAAAACGCTAATTTAGCATAAATTAGGGGGTCCTTTTGTCCCTCTGTGGGGGGGATACTTCCACTAGGTTTAAATCTGGGACTTCCCACCATTTGACCTTAGAACTGAAGAAGCTTCTCGGATGAGAGGTGAAACGTCTTCAAGCAACTTAAAGAAGTCCAGACGCTTTTCTTTGCAAGCTCCTTTGACTAATTTAGCGTAGTTTGCCCTGAATTCAGTTTTGATAAAAAAATATGATCAACTGTTTCTAGTAGAATTCCAAAGTTGTCATCTTGTATGCTTGCAGAGACCCCTACAGAAGGGAAACATGTAAAACAGTGTCCAAACCTTTGTCATGGTCCGTGGTCCTGTGTCTGTGGAATGCGTGATAATGGGGTAGCCACACCCCCGGGCTGGGCCATCACCGGCACACCTGCTCTCCATCACGGTGATTACATGAAGAGCTACTTAACCCGGCGCTGACGGATGCTCCACGCCAGTCCGTTAGTCACCTCACAGTGGTAACTAGACTTCTACGAAAGCGTGCATTCACTTCTGGTTGGAACTGTGTTTAATCCGCCTACTTGTGTCCAGGTTTCGACTCGGCGTCTGCCACCTGCCTGTCCTCCGGCTCAACTGGATCACTCGGTGCATCATCTGGCCCATTCGCTATCCCCACGGACATCCTGCTCACGGACTGCCACACTTCCCTCCCGAGCTTCCACGGTCCCGTTCTATCGTAAGCCCCCTACTCTAACTCAGTCCTGATGTGTTTTCCCCGCTTCCCGGCTCCCTAGTAATCCTCTCCCCTTTCTATTGCAGCCTCCCACGGTCCCGATCCCGGCTTCCTCGTGTCAACGTTTCCCCGGGTTTTTAGTTCCTTGTTTTGCTCCCTAGTTTTCCCGGGTCGCCTTTCGTTATTATAATAAAGTGTCTTTTCTGTTAGTGCTGAGTCTGTGTTTGGATCCTTTTGTGCACGCGCGCCGCGGCGCATGACAACCTTTGTGTTTTTGCTTTATTTATGTCTTACACAGCATCCCAACTCTTTAGCTAACTTAATAACTTTAGCTAAAGTGAATAGTTAGTGTAATTCATTAGTGCACCATTACTGGATCACCTCTGTTTGAAGTGATATGATATGTGACTGTCACTGTGTTTAACTACCATAATAATTCTTAGGGTACTGAGTGCATGCTTAATTAGTTGGGGTTTTTTTTTAACATACTGCTCCATTGCTATGTTTGACAGGCTGAAGTTGTTGGGTGATTTGACAACCTGTTACATAAGGAATTCAACTAACACAGAAGGATGTGTTAGCCTGTTGTAAGGTTAGACAGGAACTGTCATAATTAGATTACAAGTTTACGCTTTGTCTATATCACAAAAAGTGCTGGAAATAGCATCAACCTGTCACAAGACCTCATGATAAATGTGAAATGGACTGGTAATTTTTTAAAGAGAGCACTTAAAGTGCTTGTGTAATGAGTGCATGACCATATATAAGATAAAACATAACTGAAAGTGGCTTATAATATCTTGAACATGTGGGCGTTAAACTTGAATGTGGGGCCACCTGATATCACTACCCAAAGTTTTGCAATCTTTGTATTTGATGGTAAGAGTCTCACCAGATTTAACACCAGTCTGAGAGGCTTCACAGAGTTAAGGAAAGTGGCTTTAGCAGACATCATACACGTTTACAGAACTGGTACAGATACAGAAACATGAAAAATACCAAAGAGAAAAAAGAGAATCGTAAGAAGCACATTTAACCACAACGGATTCGGATACAAATCCAAAATCTGGATTAATCATTAATTCCCATTTAGAGTGAATGATTCACCCAGGATCCCTTTCTCTATCTGCTTTTTACGACAGCTTTTCTCTTGACACATCATCTAGAATTATCTGATGTTTTTTCTGTATGAAAGAAGATATCAGTCCTCCATGTCTACACAAACTATTCAAGCAGACATGTGATATGTATGTGGCACTATAAAGGCATCAGCTGCCAGTGCATGTATACTTAGATAACTTATATGACAGATCAGATCACTGTCTGATCTATTTTCTGTCAATCAATACAGTGCTGTTTTTCAGTATGATTCCATTCTAGTTGTATAATGTCATACCCAGACACTAAATGGCTTTCATTTAATTTAGGAGCTCCATTTTATTTTAGGACAGTGAATTCCCAGAATACCAGACTGCATTCCAAAGCTGTGGTGTGGAGGGTCACGAGACAAAATCTAAGCTGTAGGTTGGAGGTGAGGGAAGAAAGGTTATAGGTTAAAGAACCCCTATTAGGGGGCCTCCCAGAAAGAATGCCAAAGATCTGTCAACAAGAGAAAAAATAATTTTGTTGTAATAAAAAAAGGAGTTATGTTGGTTTAAAATAATGTCTGCAGTAAATGTTTCTGGTTGTTTTAAGATAAGCCTGTTATTGGACTGTTTCAGCATGTTCCAGGATGTCTGACATTTCCAACTGTACATTTATGGCACGAGGTGTGAGCTTGATAGATGCCCCATAAAACTCAAACCTGAAATAACACATGACAGTGGTGATCAGATTCAGGCTTTGGGACCAGCAGGAGACCACTGCAGGCAGCCAAAGGTCTCAGACCTATTTCATGACTGAACTCATGCAGTGCTTCAGGCCTGCTCAGTCGATGAATACTTAGAATAAAGACTTCTGTCAATGCGAGTGCCGTTAGAACTCAGTGTGGGTGTAATGTAGTGTATTCTTGACCAATATAAGTGTTTCAGCTGTTTGACACAGGTAACTGGATTCACTTCTATTTCTTCTAACCCAACCATGTGATGGATGAAAAATGGTCACAGTGAGGAGTGCCACAAACAGTCTTTCCCGCCCAAGCAACATAGTACCAGCACTGGTCCATATCTGTTGCTCTTCGCAAGTTCTAGCAATGGTAAACATGACTGCAGCATTGATGTTTTTTTTTTAGTTTTTTTTTTTTTTTAATTGTGTTCAGCAAAAATTGAGAAGTTTAGAAAATCAGTTAACTACTGACTGCAACAGGGCCAGTTTATGGAGCTACAGCGGCAAGCCAAGTTGATCTACAAGAAGCAATCTAATAAAGGATGCTTTGCAGCCTCTACATTGTTTAAAAAAAAAAGTGGAAATAAGACACATTTCCAAAAAATAAGGGTGCAGAATCTGTCTGTCTAACAGCGCTAACAATGTATACCTATAACTTATCTAGTATGAGCTCTGGGATGGCTTTAGCTCAGAAATTTGATGGACAAAAAAAATTAATACTTACACAAAATACATTATACAGAATCTCTGTAGGTATCTGTCCAACTCTCAGTTCTTATTCAACACAACAGAAAGTAAAGAGGCACCACCTTCAGCCTTTCTGCTTTACAAGGTTATTATTATTTATCTCAAGGGGAATTTTCTAATAAATAGACAAGTATATTAGCACAACAAAATACACAAATCACAAAAAATAATCAGCAAGGTTAAAAAGAGCCTTTGCCCAGCCCTACTTAAGATACCTTGCCTAATTCCACTGCAGTACAGCAGGTGCTACTACAACAGTAATATTGCAGGCGTATGTGTGTTAGAGGCTGTTATATTTTTAGATAGGGCTGTGCCTATCTAAATGTCTAATAGCAGGTTAATGACTCCCAGACTGACAGTATATATAGCAGCAGAGCTGTTGGCAGTGTCACCACCCTGGTCACTCAGATTATCACCACTCAAGGTACAGCTCCTTGATCTCTGCAGGATGTGAGAGATATTAATGGCATTCAAAACTGAGTCAAAATACAAATCTAATACTTTTTCAAATGGTTTGTGTCTCTCTGTGTGCAGGGAGTTTGAAACAGCTTAAAGATGTCCAGTGAGAGGAACCCAGAGGTGGTTGGCTGTGGCGCCTCCATCATGAAGAACGTCTGGGAGATCAGAATGCGAGAGTATGAACTGAAGATAAAGCTGGAGGAGGAACGGATACTGAAGAGCGCTCTGCCCTCGTAAGGGAATGCATGTGTATACGTGTTTTGTTTGTTTGTTTATTTTATTTATAAAGGTTTTACTAAGACCATTTTTGTTAGTTATTTGAGTCTAGAGCACAGTAAACTCTACCTTCTAACAGCCCTAAAGTATAAGAGTGTTACAGAACTTACTGTCTTAATCTCTCAGAATATTAGTTACTTCTGATAAAGCAGAACAAGTCATTTTGATGTGTAAGTCTTACAGAGGTAAGTTGGTTTCTATATGACTTTTTGTTGCACTTATTTGCACTTCCATTTTTTCATTTGGCTTATGTCCAATTCAGTAAAATGAGCCCAAGTCTTAAAATGTCTTAAAATAGTTTAAACTAGATTTTTACTAACTTCTAACATTTTTTATTGCTCTAAATATGAGCTTTGCTGCCACAGTGTACATGTTTTTGCACTAGCACTTTCTTTCAGTGACACCTAGATTCTCTTCATCTCTAATACCCAAGAAAATCCAGAGTTCTGGTGAAAGTAATGGGGAGAGAAGAAAAGTTTAATAGATGATAATGTTGAAAGACTGACTTATTGAAATTAAAAGTGTTTCTTATGCCTAAAATTTGCTTTCATAAAAGGAACATAAAATATCAGGGATGATAATAATAAAAATAATAAAAAGGTAGAAATTATGGTGTCCTACAAGTAGAATTTGATCCATCATGAGACTAAAAGGTCAACAGTTAACCCTGATATCAGAGCTAAGAGAGGAGGTACATGCGCTAGAATGCCTTGGATGTCATGACACTTTAGGTAGCTCAGGCAGCTGAACTGATTTATTGGGACATGTAATGAATACCTGAAAAAAGTGACACGAATCACAGTTGGCCCTCAAAACTGAAAGAGAGAAGGTCAGAGTGAAGTTACCGTACGTACATTAAACATAAAAATTAAGACACTTTGGACGTTTGGAGTCTTCTCTCACCCCCATTCTCTGCGACCTGCTGGAGCAGGGGGGCTAGGACTAGGAGGAGGAGTTGGCCGTCCGACTGCGGTCTGGAGTGTGGAGCCTTCCTGCTGCTGCGGAGTTGGGGCGGTCTGCCTCCCCCCACCGCAGGGAAAAGGGAAACACCACCTGGGTCTGGGTGCAGTTCCCTCCTCCAGGGGCGGGGGCACCTAGACCCGGTTTGTAGAGTACGCTTGGGGAGTGTGATCATGTGTACAACGTCTCTTTATGTCTGTCTCCACGTTGGTTGAGTGTGGAGTAAGTGCATATGAGAGCATGAGGGTGGGAATGGATGTTTGTATCTGTGTGTGCCTGTATGTCTGTGTCTATATGTCAGGTTGGGTGTCAGGCGCCACCTCTCTGGGGACACCTCAGGCCCTCCAAGGTTTGGAGGCCTATCTCCCCCTACCACCACTTCCCCTGCCAGTGGCGGACCCCCTCAGACATCGGTGCGTTGGTGGTTCTTTGTGTCCGGGGATGGGCGTCCAGGTACACACCGGCTCACTCCTTGGCGGCCGCTTATCGGGGCCTGGAGCCTGGGGCTCGCTCGGGCCACTTCGGAGGTGGGGTGCCCCCGGCCTCTCGGCCTGGGGCTCGGTCACTCAGGCGCAGCTGGCTGCCGGCGGAGCTCACGGGCGCGTCACTGCAACTCCCCCTGGCTTCTGCTCCGCGGCTGCTGATTGAGCCCTCATCTGGGACTCTCCTCAGCTCTTTCCGGGACAGTGGCGCAGCTGCCCCTCTGTTGGTCTTCCTTGGTCTCTTGTGTTCTGGGGGCCTCTGGATGTCTGGAGTTTTGATCTCCTCCACACCTGCTTCACGCCCTGGAGGACGGGGCTGTGGCCCCCCCACACCCTCTAGCAGATTATTACATGAAGGAACCTTTTAAAAAACAAAAAACAAGCGCGTCCATGCTCACAGGTGTACACACGGGTGATCACACCCACAAACTACACCCTTTTTGGCTCCTACCTCAAAGCACACTGTGTTCTGTTGATCTTATGTGCTGCACAATAATGTTTAACATTTAGTATTTACTGTCATATTCCCATATATCATTGTGATGTTGTTTATTCTATTACTCTTGTTCTCTTCTGCTTGCTTTCTTTTTTCTTTCTCAGCAGGTGATCCAGGTGATTGATAGATGCATTTTTTTTTCTCTGCCCGTTCTGTTGGTTTTTGTCTTTTGCCCTTCTCCCCCGTCCCTCTTCTCAGCTGTTTCTCTTTCCCTCTTTCTTTCTCCCCTTCTTTCCCCCAGTCAAGTCTGTCCCGTATTCAGTAAGTGAAAATAAAATAAACAATAAAAGGTGAATCAAATGGACCATTACGGCAAGGCTGGGATGGTCAGTTTGGTAAAGTAAATCCGTTGGGCATCTTTCTTTGCCTTTAGACAACAATTCTGATGGCAAAAGAGCCAAACGGGACAGGCCAAAAAAGAAAAAAAAAAAATTAAGACACTTTAAACCACAAACAAATACAGAGGTTTCTTAATTTCCTGAACCAGGAAAATCAGATTCTGTTCCATTTCTGTCTAGGAATTTCCCTCTCTCGCTATATTCATTAAAGTGCATTTGAATTCAGTGTTTAGCAGTAGTTAGTAGAGACGGCACGATTCCACTTTTTTATGTTCGATAGCGATATCATAAATTTGGATATCGGCCGATACAGATATGAATTTTTTAATCAACAAAACTGTTTTTAATATCTTGCTGCTTTTTGTATAAGTTCATACTCAAGTTAAAAAACAAAACAAAACACTAAACCTATTCTGTCATACCTGTATGCAAAAACTACCCTGCACCCAAAATATTTCATAGTTCAGCAACACTGATCAATGTAATAAACTTAAACCTACTCCATCCTCCCTATTCTGGTATTTTAAAGAGTAAGCAACCTCACTAATAGGGTTGCAAACTCCCAGCAAAAAAATAAAAAATAGGGAACCACCCCCCACCTCATGATGCTTAATTGACGTAATCAACTTTAATTTGATGCAGTGTGGGGAAAAAAATGCACCGAAATCAATTATTTTTCAAGAATAATTAAATAGATTCAACATCTTTCTTCAACAGAATTGCAGACTGCACAGATGGTATCTTCCCAAAGGAAAAAGTACTATAGCTTACTAGGGTATATTAGACTTAATAGTTACTATAATGGACTTCTATACATTTTACATCAGATTAAAACTTTGGGTGTAAGATTCAGATAATTATTAAAAGCTAGACATTTGAAATGAGAATAAGAAAGACAAATATGTCTTTGTGCCCCCTTTTCCCTGTTAATGCCCTATCGACCCCCCTGGCTAAACTTTGCTAGATCCGCCCCTGCACAGGGATCCTGGTGTAGAAAGTAATAATAAATAAATTCTAACAACAGCTTAAGCTTAAACGTGCTGCTGTTGTTCAGCCACTGGTTTCCTCTTTCTGGCGCGAAGTGGGCGATAAACAAACAAGAGAGACGGACTCGCGACAGAAAAGCCGATCAGCTGATCATTGACAGGGCTGGACTGGGACAAAAAATCTGCCCGGGCATTTTAACTAGAGACCGGCCCACCAGGTATTATAGGAAAAGCCATAAAGCCTTTGAATGAAAACGAACACTGTTGTCACAGTGATGTACACTGTCTTGTTGGTATATATGTATCAATCTAATAAACTTAAACCTACACCATCCTCCCTGTTCTGGTATTCTAAACAGTACCCGAAAGTCGACTGCTTGGTCGAGTTAACCTCCTGTACTATCTACAACACATGGTGTAAACCTGAAATTAAGACAGAGGAGACTAGAGGTGAGACATGATCATTACTGATTATTGATGACAGATTTAAATATATTTTCATAAACCATTCATTTGCCACATCAATAAACAGCATGGCAGGGCAAAATATTTTTTCTAACATGGCAACCTTTAAAAAGTGAAAGGAGACAGAAAGACAGGTGAGAAAGAATAAAACTTAATTGACTTGAAAATGTGGGAAAATACTGGCATCATATACAGTACTTAGTTACTTCTGAAGAAATTATGATGGGACCCTAAAAAAGTACTATGTACAATAATGGATTTCTATACATTTTACATCAGATGAAAACGTTTGTTGTAAGATTCAGATAATTATTTATTAAAAGCGAGACATCTTAAATGAGAATAAGAAAGAAAAGTATGTCTTTGTGCCCCCCTTTCCCTGTTAATGCCCTACCTGGCCCCCTGGCAAAACTTTGCTAGACCCGCCCCTGCACAGTTACCAGCTGTCAGCTACTTAGAAAAGGATCCTGGTGTTATTTGTCTCTCAGAAACAGTTCATAGCTTCCCTTCCACTCATTCATGTGACCTAAAAGGTAAACCTGTTTCTCCATCACCTGTTCAGCTCTGATGATTCAGTAAGGACATCTCCTGGTTTCATCTTCATGTTTCCCTCTCACCAGATAACCAAACCGATATCATGACCAGCAGGTTTACAGCTGTGGCTCCAGCAAACATCAGCTGATACTAGAAATTAATATTAAATAAATTCTAACAGCTGATCAAGCTTAAACGTGCTGCTGTTGTTTAGTGCGACATCCGCTGGTTTCTTCTTTCTGGCGCAAAGTGAGCGATAAACAAACGAGAGAAAAGCCGATCAGCTGATCATTGATCAGTTTTCATGATTGAAGTAAGAAACAGGAGAGGGAGGGGGGAGAGAATGAGAGAAGAAGAGGCAGCTGTGCAGCAAAGACACAGAATAACTCCAGCTTCTGGTTCTCTTATTTGTGTGAAGAGTTTTGCAAAATTAGCCAATAGTTACAAAAAATGTGCTTGGGCAATCAGAAAAAAACTGTTTAAAAAAAAAAAAAAAAAAAAGAATAACTCCAGCTTTGTGTCTTTTTCATTGTAGCTGAAGTCCGAGACAAACTGTTCCTTTTCACCTCAATAAGAAACGCATAATATTTTCTCTGAATATGAGATGATTCCGTTTTTTACAGGATGGTTGGAAACTCTAATAACTAACCTCACAAATAAAATAAGATAAAACAAGTTCAACATCAGTAACATCAT